TCGGCAGCGCTCTGCCCCGTGTAGCAGAACCTGTAGCTTTGATCTCTGAGGCTGCCGGCAAACTCTAGCTCCTGCCTTTTCCACTCGAGTAGCAGGACGCTAAATGCTGGTGTCTGACCGCGTTCCCTAGCTGCCTTTCCCTCACCCCAAGGGAAAGCTGTTGTCAGATTTCCCTCCCGCAGTACTGTGTTCTGCCGCCCTTGCTTGTCTGAACGGTGCCGTGACGCCGTCTCGTTTCCATCCAAGTCAGTGGATCTGCTCGCGTGTGCAAAGGCTGCAAGGCCATTCTCCAGTTACACAACTGCCCCCCTCCCCTCCTTAAAATATAATTTAATCTCATGCCTTGAAGCCTTTCTGGCTATGTTCTAGCTACGTTCCAGCCTGCTCCTCCAGGCACAGGGGAGTTGCAGAGATTATCCGTGCTTTAAGATAGTAAGACCCAAGCACGCAGGCATCCAGTTTTCCTTGATGGCTTTGCTGTTTCTGGAGAGCAGCGACAGAGGTGCTGTTGGGAACAAGAGCTGGGGCTGCTTTGTAGTGTCTGGTTGTGGCCGTCGTAACTCTCAGTTCCTTCGTTTCTCCTGTGTTTGAGCGTTCTTGCCCCAGGCCTCGCTGAGCAGAAAGCCAGCCCGCACGTCTGGCTGGCATACGTGGGGGTTTTGTGCTCACTAATTGAATGTAGAGTTGGCACGCAGGAAATGCAAAATATAAAAATAAATGCTGTCAGCCCACACCCCCGTTGCTTCCCCGTTAACGCTTTCTCAGTGTTTGCAGGTTCATGCAGGTGAAGTTTGGTTGTGCCCGGACCCAGAAATACAGCAAGAGGAGAACGCAGCAGCCCAGCTTGTGTCCGGCTTATTTCGTGCTGCAGTATCAGGACGTAGACCTGCTTGTGATCAGCGAACTGAACAGTAACCACGTCCATGCAGACCCAATGTTTTCCCTGACCAGAGCCACCGGAGCAGGCGGGGGGGAGCGACAGCGCTGCTGTGGCGGGTGAGGACTCGCACACGGTCACGGAACAACCGGTGGGGAGGGCGCCTGCTCTGTGCAGGGCTCCCCCACTCCCTGAGGCACTGACAGAAAATGCCTCAGCACTCATCAGGGTTGCTGAGGTGGTGAAAACCTTCCCAAGGGTGGACAGGGGCTCGCTGGCCTCCATTAGCACAGTTGGCGACCGCGGCCTGGACAGGCTCAGCTCCCAGACCGTCAGGTTGAAGAGCTCGTTTATGCAGTTCTCCGAGAGCCTCCTGCTGCACAGGGCCCCGAGCGCGGGGGGAGGCGTTCTCTATGCTTTCCTTGTGGAGGGTAAGGAGCAAGCGGGGAGAGTGGTGCACTTGTCGCTGCTGAAGGACGACACGGGACACAGCGTCAGGAGAATATTGAGCGCCTTCAAGGAGTTCAACCCGGAGTGGCAGAAGGTCCAGGCTGTTTTCGTGGACATGTCCTTCTCGCACAAAGCCATCCTCCAC